AGTAAAAACAATAAACAATAAGTTTTTACCATAATATTACTAACCTTAAGGTATTTTATCTACCTTAAGGTATTTTACTAACCTTAGGTATTTTTATCAAAAAAATATGTTTTTGTAACTTTTGAAGCAATTGTAAATCCAGTAAAATTAACGATTTGAGAGGGGGCGTGCCGTAATCGTGACGTGGATTTGGGAATCTGTGCTGAGCTCTGTAATGGATGACCGGACACGTAGCCACTGCGTAGAAAATAACGTGGAACCACTAGTGTATGGCACTAAATTATGATGAGAATATATATGCTTAATCCGCATCCACTAGTGCAGTGGTTCTTAACCTTTTTGAATCATAGACCCCTTTGAGAATCTGGTGAAAGCTATGGACCCCTCCCAGAAAAATGCACATAAGCACAAATGGGGTCACGGACCCCTGAAGCAGGTTAAGAAGCCCTGGCACGAGTGTATGACACTAAATTATGAGGAGGGAAATAGGTTGGCTTGAAATTGTAACATTATAAAACTGTGTGATTTATTAGATTTTATTCTGTGCACTGGTGAGAGCATATGTGTTAGCACAGTGGCAGTGAGTACTGTTTCTTGTTACACAGCTCGCCTGGCAACGTGATATCAGCCTTCGGTGACAAAGCAAGAAAGCAACGCATGTGGCCTTACAGAGACTCGAAGCTGACGCGGCTGTTGCAGGACTCTCTGGGTGGAAACAGGTATGCAGGCCATCTATATGGCAATTAAATACTGTATGGCTAGAGGGTTGCTGTAAATGTAGACAACAGGTTTTTTGGTCTTATAACCAGTAGATTTTTAATTTAGGGATTCAATTTGTATGCAATATTAGGAATTAAATCGGATTTGTAACTGCAGCAAAATAATAACAACAGTAGGCCACATCAACTGTTATAATGATTGTTCTAGCGTTTTAGTATTTTAACATAGTTTATGTGCTCTTTTTACTATAACTATAAGTATGTTACTGACAATTTTCATCGAATAATAAAGATATGTAACCTTTATTGAATCTATCACCGTGGATCAAATATACAAAAACCAAGCTGGTCACGCACTAAAGGCACCCACATGCAGGATAAATACTGCATTAGGAGTGGCCGCCAATAATAATACATGGCGTGCTCGCCCAAAAAACTTCAATGTAACAGTTTCTAAAATCCTCCACGGAGGTGGCGCCACGTGACGCAAACGCTTTTTCGTCTGCTTCGCAGCCGCACGCTGATGATTGCCTGCATCGCGCCGTGCGACCGCCGATTTCATGGAGACGCTGAAACACGCTGAAGTACGCGAACCGCGCGCCAGCAATATCAAGAACAAGGTCGTCGTGAACCAGGACAAGACGAGCAAGAGATCGCTGCGTTACGCGTAGAGATCATCGCGCTGCAGAACGAGCTGATGGAATACAAGACGGTGAGTGCAACCACAACTACAGCATAATGAATAATAATAATAATAATAATAATTATAGTATTAATGAAGATGATGTAATAATGATAATGATGGAGTACAAGACGCGTGAGTCAGCCGAAATCGGTGGAGCACTACGCTGTAGTCGATCATGTCATCTTGTTCAGTAGGAGACAGTGAGTGAGCACAGCCGGTGGAGTATACCTGTAGTAAACTGAGTATGACTGGTAGTTGATCATGTTATCTAGTCAAGTAGGAGATAGTGTGTGCGACCATAACTCCAAGCATAATAATAATAATAATAATAAAAAAATAAAAATAATAATGTATCCATATGTATAAGGAAATGAGATAGCGTGTGATCGATGTATGGGTGCAGTATGGCTGCAGGAAGGCCTGGGGGGTGGTCTACTGATATGATATAAGGGGTATTCTGCAGAAGCTGCTGCAATCTACATGAACTGGATATGTGTTGTCACAAGCATAATTGATGGGTTGTGTTTGTGAGCTCTTTCTGCTAGCATGTTGTGTTTGTGAGCTCTTCTGCTGCTCTTCTGCTGAACGCTGTTCGTACGTTTACTGTTCGTAACACGCCTTCGTTTCAAACTCTCAGGTAAGCGACAGGTGGACAGCGAAGGGCTGGAACATGTCAACGATATGTTCAACGAGAACACCATGATGCAGGCAGAGAACAACGAACTGCGCGGTGCGCATCAAGGCCGTGCAGGAGACGGTGTCTGCACTGACGCAGCCCAATCCCATGCTACTGTCGCGACCGCACAATAGGCGGCCTGGATCACATCACAAGGGTGCGTTTGTGTGCTCACATGTCACAACCCGTTCTACAATTCCTATCTAGGCACACTGCCCTTTAATACTGTTGCAAGAACAAAAGCGGTTTTGCACAGAACCTTAAGCGGTGTCACTAGAATCAAAAAGACATATAAAGACATAAAACAAGTTGTGTTATCTTGTATCTTCATGGTCACTAGGCTTGGCTGCATATGGCTGTGTAGCAATATGTTAAATGGGCTGAGGCAGCATTAGTAGCGTAGTGCTGTAGTGTCAGTAATAGGCAGTACTATTACTTCTACTACTGATGCTGCTAGAAGTAGTGGTTGTGGTAATAAATAACAATAATAATTAATGATAATGAGATGATAATAATGATGGTGATGGTGAGATGATGATAGATGATGATGATTGATGATGATGATGATAATAATAATAATAATAATAATTTTGCTCTCTTTCTCTCTCTTGCTATAATTAGATGGGGAGACAGATGAAATGGCTTCAATGATCCAGAACTACATCATGGAGATCGAGGAACTGCGTGCGAAACTGCTGGAGGCTGAGGCGTCGTGCGATGCCTTGCGGCGACGGGAGGAGATGCTCGGCACGCTCCCACAAGCCGCACTCCTCTCTCTCCCTTCCACATGCCCTCCGCCTCTGTCATGTCCGGTAAGGCTGCATGCTGCTTTATATGTGTGTATAATGTATATCTATCTGTCTATCTTCTATCTATCTATCTATTTATCTATCTATCTATCTATGTATGTATCTATCTATCTATATATCTCTATTTCTTTCTCCCTTCTCTCTATCTCTCTCTCTCCCTCTCTCTCTCTCTCTCTCTCTCTCTCTCTCGCTCTCTGCTCTCTATCTCTCTATCTCGCTCTCTCTCTATATATATGTGTGTGTGTGTGTGCGTGCGTGCGTGCAAGTGTGCGTGTGTAACTAGGCACGTGCATCTCTGGCGTGTGTTAATGTTCATCCTAAAATAACGTGGTGGAGAATCTCGCTGCTTCATCCCCATGGAGGCATTTATTGTAGTGGCGGTATTGCGTATGTTATTGTGGGGAAAACGTTCAACTTGGGTGGAACAATATGAACCCTAATGTGATGTTGTTAAAATTTTGAATTTGCGGTCACTTTTTGGAACACTAAGACCTGCAGATGTCCCCGTCATTGTGTTGATTTGTATGTAGGTTCCTACGTTGATGTGGACACGATATCAATTGAGCAGTTCAGCAGATCTTGGCACGAACATTTTGGATGAAGCAAAGAAGGAGCTACGGCAGCCTGAAGAGCAACGCTCTCAATGTGTCACGCCAGTCCAGTCGAGCGAGGTATGCATGTGCTTGACAGCCTGTGTGTGGGCGGCACATCTGCGTGTGTGTCTCACAGAATACCATTCCCTGGCTATGACACCAGTTTCTGAAATGTATTGAAAATGTTGTGTTGTCGTGGCACCTGTAAAAGTATGTCATTTTCAATTTTATCCCTTGCTGATTTGTTTGTGTTCCAAGTCATTGTTTAATTTTTTTAATGCTGGAAATAAAATGGATGTGTTATGGATAACACAACCCCGCACAATGTCAAAGCGATCGGCTTAAACTTGCCATGTTAACAACCCGAGTCATATAAATAACGCGTCATATACAGTTGTTGCCCAGTGCTAATCTTCCACCTCGGCATTGTTGATTGTTGTTGTTGATTTTTGGCACTACTACTATTGTTGATTGTTGGTGAACAGCTTCGCGAGTTGTTCGGCTTGTATCTAATTAATTGTATTTCTATTGTGAGTAGCAATGAGAAGGACCGTGATAGCTATGAGGACCTCAGTGACCAGGAGATCATGGAGACCATGGGAGACAGTGACAAGTGACAACATTGCTGAGGTTAGACATATATTTGAACGGGAGGCTGTATTATTTAGCCATACCAGGTGTAGTAGTTCACTGGGTACGCCTCTGCGGGCTTCATCGAAAATAGTTGACGTAACTTTGGCGAGGAATGTTTTGCAATGAACTACTGTTTTGACTTGTGTGAGGGAGTTTTGAGGTGAGAACTGCAGACTGGCGATACTGTCAACAGTCAGCAGTGTGTATGACTCGGTGGATGCTGTACTTGTGCCTTGTGCTGTAATGAGTGACTGGAATACTCTGAACTCTGTGTCATATTGGATTGGTCATACATACGCTGCGGCCTATTGATTTTAGTGACAAGTTGTATTCTAGTGCTTAGTGTTCTATGAAACACGCTGTTCTTGTAGCAGTAGTAAAAGGCAGTGAGCCTAGATTGGACCATGCAAATGCTCGTTTGTCAGTAATTAGTTTGTCAGTAATTACATAGGTTATAAACATTATTACTACTTTTGAAAGCTAACCAATCCAGCAGATGTGTCAGTGTACTGCAACTGCTGTATCTCCGTCGCGTTCCCGCGCTACATATGTATTTGATATTGCATCCATATCTATATCTTATCCTCATCTATATCTTATCCTTATTTATATCTTATCCTTATTCTTATCTATATCTGATTATTATCATTATCTATATCTTATCCTTATCCGTATCTATATCTTATCCCAACTTATCTATATCTTATCTTTACCTTTGCATCCTTAATCTATCTAATAATGAACTGTGTTGCCTTGCACTCTAGGAGGACGAGGATGATGCTGGGGATGAAGACAGCACAGATGAATCGGATGTCGAAGAGGGTGCGTTAGTAACCCCAGTAATGTGACTACGGTAGAAGTTTTTGATGTGGTCTTTGTAATAGAGAGCATGTGCGGGTATCATAATTAATTATGAGCATCAGTAACGTAGTAAAAATGTGTGCGTGCGTGCGTGCGTGCGTGCGTGCGTGCGTGCGTGCGTGCGTGCGTGCGTGCGTGCGTGTGTGTGCGTGTGCTTGTGTGTGTGCGTGTCAGTTGGCGCATGCATGTGATTTTGTGCGTGCGTGCAACTATGTCTATTGTAGAATCTGCTAAAAGACCGTGTATACGTGTGTGTAATGTAGAAGGCATGCAGGAAGACCTCACAGAGCCTGCATGTGTGTGTGTGCATGCATGTGTGATAGAATCTGCTAACGACTGTGTTTATGTTTGTTTATATGTGATGTAGAAGGCATGCAGGAGGACCTCGCGGAGCTAACGAGTGAGATCAACATCAAGCAGAAGCTGATCGAGGAGCTGGAGACGAACCACCGCAAGATGGAGCTGCTGAGGCATCAGTACGAGGAGAAGCTCAGCCAGCTGCACACGCGCATCCGTGACACGGAGCTCGAGCGCGACCAGGTGCTATCCAACCTCAGTGAGTCGACTATACTCTCTATTCTGCGCATGTATTACATTGTACAGTTCAAACTTCATACTTCACGACCAGATGCTAAACAACCTCAGTGAGTTGACTATACTATCTATTCTGCGCATGTATTACATTGTACAGTCAAACTTCACGACCAGGTGCTATTCAACCTCAGTGAGTCGTCTATACTATCTATTCTGTGCATGTATTACATTGTACAGTCAAACTTCGCAACCAGGTTGCTATCCAACCTCAGGGAGTGGTCTATACTATCTATTCTACGCGATGTGCATGTGTTACGTTGTGCAGGCAAACTTGTGTACTTTATACACAACTGACTGTGCTATAAAAGTGGGTTCTTCGTGTAATTGCCATGCAATGGGAATTTCACGTGTTAATTATAGACTATAGCGGATTCTATTGAGGGGAACGCTAACACAAGTTTGTACATATGTACCATTGTATTGTATATTGGTTGTTTATATATTGTACATTGTTTTACACTATATTCATTTTATACAAGTAATGTGTAGGATACATATCACATGCTTACATGACATACTATGTAAGCTTACATTATTTATACATTACTGCTTGTACTTGCTACAACTTTGTCTCTTCTTTCCCATCGTAGATATGAAAGAGAAGGAAGCCAACGCCAAGAACATAAAGGAGGAATACGAAAAGAAGTTGAGCTCGATGCAGACGGAGGTGAAGAAGCTGCAGGCAGCTAAGAAGGAGCACGACCGCTTGCGACAGCAGCAGCAGCGTACAGAGCGACAGCTTAAGTCCCTGCAGAACGAGTTGTCGGAGATGAAAAAGGCGAAGGTACATGAGTAGCTCATGTTGATACTAATGTCATTTGGCTGGAAACAGACGATCGTTCATCCATTCCCCCACCGGTTCTTTTGTCAACCTCTTGTCAAACCTTGTCAATCTATTGTCAAACCTTTTGTCAACCTCTTGTCAAGCCGCTTGTCAAACCTTGTCATCCTCATATCAAATCTTGTCAACCTTATGTCAAACGTTGCTATTGTAGCAGTTTGGCTATATACTGGACGGTTAAACCTGGTTATGCCTGGACATCCTTGGATCTGACTTCGTTACATAAATACTTTCCTTAGGGAAGCCATCCTGTAGTCCATCAAGACCTTACTATTGAATAATTTAAGTTTAAGAATATTTCTTGCCATATTGCATTGCTCCTTCTGACCTAATTAGAAATTTCCAATGTCGAAACTGCATAGCAGCCGTGACACAAATGACTTTTGACACACTGTTCGCACCTGTAGTTTCTCGATCATCCTCAGGTAAAATTGATGACAAAACTGAAGGAGGATGCCAAGAGGATGGCCGGACGCGAGGCGGAGAAGTCACGAGAGATTGCTGGCCTGCGCAAAACGCAGCGTCAGCGAGACAACCAGATACGAACGCTGGAGGCAGAGAAGAAGCTAAAGGAAGTGGTGCTACGCCGAAAGCAGGAAGAGGTAGCGACCGACGCTAGCAGAGCAATATGCTTGTATTGCTGCTACCTACTTGCTAAGCAATGTAGCTACACATCATTTTACTTCATACAATCCCCCCACCAGTTTGGTAGTCAAAATATTTGTTGAGATACAGCATTCCAGAATGAATGCCTGGACCTTATCTGTATGAGGGGAGTGAGGTGTGCATCGTTACAGTTCTAGTAAAACTACAAGATGTATATATTCTATTTCTAATTCTTTTCGTATGCTGCTATCATTCCAGCTTCAATCCCTGAAGAAAAACATCATGTCGGATAAGGTCGCCGGAAGAGTGACTCGCAACCGGGCTGTTGCTCGTCCTGCCACCAGGATGCAGCACGTGTTCAACGCACGAGTCGCTCATCAGAAGTGGACGCTATTAGAAAAACAGATCTCAACGATAACCCTGAAGAAACAGACGCTGTTCAATATGGAGCAGGACATGGACAGATGGGTCAAGGTATGCACTCACACAGTAGCACGCTTGCACGCTCACACATACACGAACATGCATGCATGTGCACATATATGTGCATGCACAGACTTATACACATCCATTCATATACACACTCATACACACACATACATTATATCACACTTATAAACACATTATTACATAATTGTATCACAATTACACGCACACACATGTGCAGACTTATTGACATACATCAGTACATACATATACACACTTAAACGCACACGTACATTATATCACTCTTATACACATGCATGCATGCACTGGCTGTTTTCCTTAGTTTTTGCCCTACTTCTAAAATATTTTCTTTATTGACGTACAGCAACGAGAGAAGCTGGGGAAGGAGATGGAGATGCTGACGCAGAAGAGAGACGCTGCGGAACAGCGCCATGCCGAGGAGAGCATCACGCGCGACCTCAGCGAGCAGATAGACAGCGTGCGAGCGAACCTAGACTACGTGCAGGACAACATCAGTGAGTGTCAGGAGCAGATTGTGCAACTGGAGGACAGGTATGTGCCGGCCCCGCCGCACTGGTTTCCCAAATGTGTTTCTGCGGGCTTCTAATGTATAACTTAATATAGGATCTAATACATGATAATGTGTATCATGTGCCTCAGTGTTTCTGCCAATTAAAATGACACAGTGTAACAATGTTTTTGCTGCTGATTATCCTTAATTGTTTTTGTACAATAAGGTTGCATGCATTTTGAAATAGTTTTAATGCATGTAAAGGTATCATTGACTGTACCTTTGGCCTTATGTCAATATGTTGCTTCTCCACTGTAGCAAAGACTTGGAGACAGGCGCGAGTGGTATGTCAGTGAACTTGTCTACGCTGATCGAGAATGTGAGGCTAGAAGAAGCCAAATACCTCCTGGAGCATCTGTTCAATGCAGCAGTCAGCAAGGTAGTGTTCCACACGAGTCTGCTTTCGAACTTGATTTATACTGCTTGGGGTTGATTTATGGTTTTTGCGGCCATGCTCATCACATAATTTAGTGGGAAAAATAGCTGGTTCCAACGTCTTATTTACCGAATCTCATGATAGTTGCATTGGTTGAAGATTATGATGTTTTATCTTAGTTTGTTTACTGAGTGTGTATGTGTGTTGCGAAGGAGAGGTCGCAAGTTGAGATCATGATGAATTAAGTGCATCTGAGAGAGAGAGGAGTGTTCAGTTATAAATACCAGGTGGAAGAGTACTGTGCTTTTAGCACCCGGAAAATAAGTGGAGTACAGCATGCATTAGGAAGATGAGTAAGGTGCTGTGTATGAGGTATAAGACTCATGTACAGTGGGCATCAGGTAGGGCAGCCATTGTACAGTGTGTATTAGGCAGAACTGCCATGTACAGCATGCATCAAGCAGAGCAGGAGTGTACACTGCACATGCCGGTGATAAATTGTGTACAGTTTGCATGAGTGGGCGAGTGTGCACGCCGGTGATAAACAGATTGCATCAGTGAGAGAGAGAGAGAGAGAGAGAGAGAGAGAGAGAGGGAGAGAGAGGGAGGAGAGAGAGAGAGAGAAGAGAGAGAGAGAGAGAGAGAGAGAGAGAGAGAGGAGAGGGAGGGAGGGAGGGAGGAGGGAGGGAGGGAGGGAGGGAGGGAGGGAGGGAGGAGAGGAGGGAAGGGAGGGAGGAAGGGGGAGGCGGGGAGGCGAGAGAGAGAGAGAGAGAGAGAGAGAGAGAGAGAGAGAGAGAGAGAGAGAGAGAGAGAGAGAGAGAGAGAGAGAGAGGTGTTCTATGCGGAGATCCCGCACTCACTCAGCCTTCATTCTTCCATACAGAGCATGCTGGCACATCAGAACGAGAGCGGCTACAAGGAACTGCAGGCGAAGATCAAGCAGACGGAGCAGAACAACGCCATGCACCAACAGCTGCTGCAGTACATGCTGCAGGAGCGGGGAGAGCTGGACGTTCTCACCTTCCTATCCAACGGTGAGCTAGGTGAGCGGGCAGACCGGGCTTTTGCACACTCCTCGAGTGAGCAGGAAGAGCAGGCTTTTGCACACTCCTCGAGTGAGCAGGCAGAGCAGGCATGCGCCTCGGGTTTTGTCTAATCATCAAAGGCATTTCTATTGCTTTTGCACACGCCTCGAGTTTTGTCTAATCATTGAAGGCATTTTTATTGCTTTTGCATATGTCGCGAGTTTTGTCTTATCATTGAAGGCATTTCTATTGCTTTTGCACACGCCTCGAGTTTGTAATTTTTGTTTAATTGTTGAAGGCATTTCTATTGCTATCAATGTTTTCATTTGCAATTTCATCGGTTAGTTTGTGCGGGATTCCTGCTATTGGCTCGTAAGTAGCTTGCATCGGTATTGCCAATATTTACAAGCGTTCATTGCAGATGGCAGCGGCGGTGACGTCAGCAGTGGCGCCTCCTCTCCGTCAGACAGGTAACTAACACTGACTCTCTAGTGCTCGATTTTTCTTAACCTTGCCACTGTTACGTTTATGATGTGCGGTTTGGGAACTTTTTCATGTGATACAAACGTAATGTGGAGTGGTGCATATCTGTCAGAAGAAGTTGATCACTATATTCATACAAAGGCATGAGTTTAAGATCTTGGTGACTTTGGGTTTCAATGCAGTCAATAACAAAGCATGCGAAAAGATTCGTTTAACGGCTTCTCGGTTCACGATCGTAATGTGATTTAAAGTGAAAGTGATTTTTCCCTTTTTTTCTAAACAATTCCGTGCGCCGACAATGGTACGTCATCCTCGTGTAGCTTCAGCTGGTTCTCCTTTGCTGTTGTCTGCCTGGCTTGCTTTTCCATGTACTTCTGCATCACGAACATCAATAGATGACGTCGTGTGTAGTTCCCGTGTTGTTCGTGCGTGCGTGTGTCTGTGAACGAGTGCGCCATCTTGGGCGTTTGTACAACTGCCCGTGTGTGTACGTACGGCTAGGGTGGAGCATCGGCGAGCTCTGTCGGTTTTGCTGCACGGCTGTGCACACAGAACGCTTTCAGTTTCGGTTTCGTTCACCACCGTTTCGTTCTGTTGTTTGCACGTCGTTGTCTGCAGCATGATGGGTGTCGTGCCGCCACTACCCGGAGCACAGTTATTGCAGGTGCCGAAGAAAGACAAGGTATATATAATTAGGTGGGCTCGATATCGTATAGAAACTGGCGAATCGAAACTTCTCTTGCAATAGCGCAAATTCTTTGGTTTGACGGGCTTCCGTAAATGCCGTTGCTAGAAATCTGTGGGGTTATATAATATTTCTAATTCATCCAAGTCCAGTTGGACCAGTTTAACCCTAGTACCTGTGAAATTTAATACAGCCCCAGTACTGGAAACTGTTCTACAATAGCTTGTGCCATTGGCATATATAACAAACGATTATGCAAAGTATAACAGTGTATTTCAGTCGTATTTTCTGCTTGTTACAACCGTTGTAGGGTATGTTGATTTTTTCTTTGCTTTTCCTGTTGTTCACACTCATTTGTAACTGAACCTTCTTCCTCGTAGGCTCGCCGAAAGACGGCCACGACAGAGGACCTCCTCTACGCTGGCCCAAGAGAGAGTCAGGGTTCAAGCGTGGCTCCTCTCCTCCCTGTGCCTTCGTCCTATCAGGCGGCTCTGGAAGAGGAACTAGGGGAGGAGGAGGAATGCTCGATGCCTTCGAAAGCCTTCAGAGAGAGCAGGCTCGTGACTGTGCTCACCAGCCAGGAGCCAAGTCAAGGTAGTAGTAATAGTATCGTATGGCGTCAATGTCACGCCTCCACAGCCCCCACGGGCAATCCAGTTGCAAAAGAGTTTTCCACATTCATTCATGGTGACAGATCCTCCCGGTATCATTAGGCTACAAATCTCGATATAACGAAATTACGTGTACACAAGTCACTAGTTTCACAGTTATATGCCGCCTCTCTCACAGGCAATAGACTGGGAAGCAGACCGGAGTCTAAAACTCTTCCGGCCGCACCAGTCAAAGATAGTTCCCTGATGCCACCACCGAAACTGCCGCCCCCTCGACCCACGTCAGCGGCTAACGTACGAAGCACGGAACCGTCGCCCATGCTGCGTCGAAAGATCAGCAGCTCATCCCAGCTGACGGACCCCTCTCCGGTGATGAGACGGAAGAATTCGTTCACACTGAAAAGCAACAGCCACTCTAGCTCAAACCTCCGGGGCATGTCACGTCAGAACAGCTTCAACAAGAAGAGGAATTCGGCCAACAGTATCAACAACTTGTGAGTTTCTCGTCGACTCTTGCATCGTTCACCTGGTGATGGTCTTTCCTTGGGTTTTCCCTACTGTTGCAGTTTTTACGCAATGAAGCAATACTCGCTGATAAGAATGGGGTGTATAGAAGGCACCAGCTGTTGGTAAATATAAGGTAATATCATACGGGAACAGTGTGCTTTATCGTGCGATAAACAGGATACTATGTAAACCAGAAAATATTACGTGCTCAGAGAGTAACATGCCAGGCTTTGTTTATTAATTATAAGGATAGATTGGAATTATCTGGTTTGTCAGCAATTTCAACCACAAAAGGTGTGTGCATACACGTGTAAGCCTGTGTGTGTATGTACATTTAAAGGCTATGTTCACTAGTGTATAATATATGAATATCTGTGTGCCTCACAGTATAGTGCATACGTCACTGTGCACGTCATATTTTAATATGAATACTACCAACTGCAGCCTTTGCAAATGCTATGTTCATTTATAGTGTTTAATATATGGATATCTGTGTGCCTCACAGTATAGTACATACGTCGCCTGTGCACATCGTATTCTAATATATACAGTGTGGTAACTGCAGTGCATACGTCACTGTGCACATCATATTTTAACACGTATACTACCAACTGCAGCCACCTGTGTGTGCTTCACAGTAGGCCTATAGACTGTGCACATCATATTTTAACACGTATACTACTAACTGCAGCCACCTGTGTGTGCTTCACAGCAGGCCTATAGACTGCACATCATATTTTAACACGTATACTACTAACTGCAGCTGTCTCACGTCTACTACTTGTGTCGCACCAGGGACAGTACTGGCAGCACGACGACTCCCCGGAGCCGGACTCTCCCCCCGCGCAGACGCGCGACCAGAACGTGTTCTCTCGTCTCTACAGCCACGCGCCGAGCAGCAGTTCACGCGGCGAGTACGTGTCCGATAGCCGGCAGCAGCAGCAGCGCGCCCTGCTGGGTGTAGTTACGCTCGTCGTGTTGCTGTGCTGCTCTGAGCTCTTGTGCAGGGGGTAGTACTACTGTTGTACAGAGTAGTACTACTGTTGTACAGGGCAGCACTGAGCAGTTGTGTGAATTAGTGCGGCAATGTCAGATTAGTGCAGTCAAACCTGTGTACTTGTACAGAGTAGTACTACTGTTGTACAGGGCAGCACTGAGCAGTTGTGTGAATTAGTGCGGCAATGTCAGATTAGTGCAGTCAAACCTGTGTACTTGTACAGAGTAGTACTACTGTTGTACAGGGCAGCACTGAGCAGTTGTGTGAATTAGTGCGGCAATGTCAGATTAGTGCAGTCAAACCTGTGTACTTGTACAGAGTAGTACTACTGTTGTACAGGGCAGCACTGAGCGGTTGTGTGAATTAGTGTGGCAATGTCAGATTAGTACAGTCAAACCTGTGTACTTGTACAGAGTAGTACTACTGTTGTACAGGGCAGCACTGAGCGGTTGTGTGAATTAGTGCGGCAATGTCAGATTAGTGCAGTCAAACCTGTGTACTTGTACAGAGTAGCACTACTGTTGTACATGGTAGCACTGCGTTGCCATATGAGTGCGGCACCATCAGATTAGTACCATAAGATTAAACCTGTGCATAAGGCTCACTCAAAGCAACCCCCCCATCCCCCCCCCAATGTCCTTTATAGACAGCTGTTCATTCTACAGATGTCTTGGCTAGCGCAGGTTTGGTTGTACTCTAAACGTGAGGTTCGTCGTGGTAATTGGTGCTGAACAAAATGGATGGACCTCTGATTAGTAATAGTAATTCACTGCAAGCCGTTACATCTGCTTGCTGTGTTGCATAATATTGCGGTACGCATTAGTGCACCCGTCGCATGGTGTCTTGAACTGGTCTGTAGTGTGGTAATGTTATTCTGTGATGCAATATGGTAATCATTGTAAGGTGGTATTCTTGTTCTGTGATGCAATGTGTTGGTGTACAAATTCAAATTGGTTTTGATGGCAAGGTGCCAAGCTGTTATTAACATTGTGTTTACACTGGCCTTTATTCTATATAACATTTATTCATGAGTAGTGTGCTAAGGACTAGACGCTGTATGACTGACTGATAGTGACTGCATAAATTCGCCGTCGTACAGTGTTATAAATTAAAGGAGAGGAATCAAAGTTAATGAAAGGGGGGTGGAGATGATTTAAAAATATGATCTCATCAGTTACTATGAGAAACTAATTATGTATATTCGACATTTTGTTGAATAAATAGCTAGTTGTTCTAGGAAATTTAATATTGTAATGTTTAGGGAGTTAAACATCATTTAGTAGGAAGTTAGAGCATTGGATCACTGCTAGGATAGTCAGCTGATGGTGATGGTGGCACTCAATTTATGCAGACAGGCTGCTCTGCTAAATAGAATATCGATTTTGTCATAATAACATCTTTTCATTGTCCAAGCCTCCAAGTTCGTACAGCTCACCTTGAATCTATATATAGCCATGAATAAGGACGCATCTTCTCTAAAAGTTAACAGCACAAAGCAGGAACCACTAACTTGTAGAATTATCATATCACCATAAGCATCATCATAAGCATCATCATTGTTGTCACTATCACCGTAATTGTCAACGTCATTGGCATCAAAAACAACAGTAGCAACAAAATATCATTTATAATTATTGCCATCATTAATATGGTTTATATCGGCCTCTTCAGCTTTGCTCACGATAGGTTTTGTGGGTCATATTATCTTTATGCTATATTTTTGCATACTTATACTTATGCTATAAGAGTGAATGCAATTGATATTTCTATATCTAATTTTCTCTAGCTTTGCCTTGCACTGACATTTCCTTTAACAATCCTGAATTGCATGTTCACCAGGATAATTTTCTTTTGCATGGCTGGAGTAGAGGTGTGATTAACCCGTATACTGGTAAGCCACCAGGCAACATGCCGTTGTACTGCACCCACCAGGCTGAGGGACATGACAAGCCCGTGTTGTCACTTACTGCCACCGAGACTCTGCTCTTCAGTAGCTCGAAAGGTGAGACTCATAAACTCGTAGATCCAAAGGAGAGATTAAAATCTGAACAAAACTGAGACAAAATTTGACATTTACGCATGGCCAACTCGTAGATGTGGGCCAGAGAAATGTTCCAAAACTAGTTTCCTCTCAATGAGCTGCGTTTTAAATAGTCCTTGTCACTGAAGCTGATAAAATGTGCTTTTCGTGAACTCCTATTTTTTCCTATTTGCAGCTGAGATGCTTTGCTGTCATCTATTGTCTCCTGGTCTAGCATCCCCTTAGCAATATTCTGTTATGAGGATGTTGATTGTTATCAGCTGTGCTTCGTTGAGATTCCCGGGGAAATATTTTCCTTAGGATTATTTTTAAACCCATTGCATTTTGTATCACACAGTTCTAAACTTGTGTATGCGTGCATGTGTGCGTGAGTGATATGTGTAAAGGAAAACCAATATTCGTCATCCATAAGCCCGTGTGACAATACAGCATTTCTTCAGCATCTCGAATTGCACCATATGTAAATGTTGTCTTATGAACTATATACTCCTGGTGCATGTTACAGATCGTTCGGTGAAGGTGTGGGACATGATCGTAGGCAGAGAGATCATGTCCTTTGATGGACACCCGAACAACGTCATTGCCGTCCGCTATTCCCCACAGACCAGTCTAGCCTTCAGTGCCTCCATGTACACCATAAAGGTGTGGGACATCAGGGAGAGACCCACCAAGTGCCTTAAAACTCTAAGGTACAACTCATTTTTATTATATTTTTATATTATTTTATTATTATTATTTTATTATTACAGTTTCGTGTTTTTGCATAGCCAACTTTACAGTTTTATTCTTTCTAACTTACTGTATGTCTTTTGTGTGAATAGAGGTGATATGAAGACAACTCCGACAACGGTGTCAGGCACTGTGCTGTTGTAATCTACACACGTATTCACACGTGTAGATTTTAACCACAGATTACTAGAGACCATGTATATGTGATGTTTAAATACAATCATTTATTTTGAAGAAAAAAATATGCATATATATATATATATATATCAGGGAACAATTTCCAGCCAAAAATTTGCATAGCAAGTGGCTATATACAAATACAATTTTGCATAGGCAAATTGGATAAATTTTGTATAGCATTTTTTTCAGACATCACAGTGCAAAATTTACAAGAGTCCGCAGTGCATGCTTGCGTGTTCATCCAGTGTCGGCCTGCGACAGGCACCAGCTAGTTAAGCCTAGACAACACATAGCGATTCTGCACCCTGCCCGCAGCCGTTTAAACACACGCGTGCGAGCTTTGCACTCGCCGAGCTCGCCAAATGTCGGTGAAAATAATACTCGAGGCCGGCGAGTGAAAGCTAAAGCTGACTTCGCCCATGTTGGCGAGTAAAAATAATGTCTAGAACTTTAATCAAATGTTGTTCCCTTACATATATATCCAAACATTGATGAAATACAGTTCTAGCCGAATTGTGAAGGGCGGCATCCGACCCTCCTCACGACGACATCGCCAACTTTATTTATAAAGGTCGCGAAGAAAGCAGGCCCGCCGAGAGCGCGCAGCGCCAGCAGCAGCGTGGCTGTGTATAGCGTGCCTGGGGCGGGCAATATTGATTGATACGGGGGGGGAGTGGCAGATTGTTTTAAAAGTCACGTTGGCTTGGCGTTAACAAATCAAAGTAAATCGCGTAACGTGGCATTTTCATTGAGGGCAAAGCAGGCGCCCGAGAATAAAAGTAAATTGTAACAGTATTTTCCGTTACATCTCGCATGGGCTGCACTGCAGTTCAAGCTGCGATTTCATAAAAATATGCGTAGCAAATGTGAAAGAATACATCGGCGAATTGCGATGCGATACCGGGAAAATTAATTCCCTGATATACATATATATAAATATTGTATAGGGATAATAGATAGATAATAAGATACTAAATTGATAGGTGACAGACACACAGACACAGATTGATAGATAAAATAGATAGATAACATGATGTTATTATAGATTAGTAATTAAATGCGTTCTGACATCTGCAGTTCCTCGGGGATGACGACTAACGGTGCGCTCGCGACGATTGAGCCGAACACGCGCGTCGTGACGCAGCCCTCTGGTGAGAGCAGATCAACGACATCAGTGACGAGAGGCGGAACACACGCTGTTCTCGCCCGCACCGCCGAACACAGTCAGAGCTCTGGGACTCAAGGAAGTACGTCTGCACAGTCTCTGGAAAACACTAGTCTCTCTGCGCTACCTCTCTACTACTCTACTATCTTGGTGGTTGCTGCGCTCCCTAGCTACTCTCTCTCTCTCTCGTCTCATCTCTCTCTCTCTGTCTCTGTCTCGTGTCTCTGTCTCTGTCTCTGTCTCTTCTGTCTCTCTCTCTTCTCTCGCGTCCGTCTCGCTCATCTCTCTCTCTCCTATTGCTCTCTCTTCTTCTCTCTCTCTCTCTCTCTCTCTCTCTCTCCTCTCTCTCTCTCTCTCTCTCCCTCTTTCTCTCTCTTTCTCTCTCTTCTCTCTCTCTCTCTCTCTCTCTCTCTCTATCTGTATCTCTATCTCTATCTCTATCTCTCATATCTCTATCTCTCTCATCTCGTCTCTCTTCTCTCGTCTCTGCTGTCTCTCTGTCTCATGCGTCTCTCTGTCTCTCTGTCTCTCTGTCTCTCTCTCCTACTACTACTACTACTCTATATGTGCTTACTGTACTTGCATGTGTTATTACCTCCGCCCAACGGAGTTTGAGGAGGTTATGTGATCGCTCTCGTGCGTTCGTGCGTTCGTGTGTTCGCGCGATTGACATTAGCGCGTCGAGTCAGCGAGCCAACCAGCCAGCCAGCGCAGCGAGCCAGCGAGTGTACATGTGAGTGAGCAGCAGCAACGAGCGGCTGCTACGAGCGAGCGAGCAGCAAGCCAGCAAGCCAGCGTGTATATGTCAGTACGCTGGCGTATATCGTGCGTTATTCGTGTGCTCGTGAGTCGTATGGCGTATGGCGTATGTCACTGGCGGAAGTATGCACTCTTCGTGAGTGCACTCTGTCTAGTTTATTATGCATTGGAAAGTAATGAGTGCTATTTCATGATGCGATTTCTTTTCAGGTTCATGTCGATAGGAAAATTAAGTGGTGGTCACCAGGCGGCTGTCATGGTTATGGCTATGAGCACTAATGATGAAAATGGCAACGTACTTGTAACTGGCTCCAAGGACCACTATATCAAGGTACCAGCTTCACACACTCTCACTGTGCCACACATTGCTTTACATTGATTATGTTTAGGGGGTAACATGTTGGCAAAATACTATAATCGTGTTGCTATCTCGTATTATAGGTTATTTATGTCATTGTAAAACATATATTCCATGACAAAAATAGAATCGTCAGTCCAGTAGTGTTTGTCATTGGCTAGCCGTAGCTTGTGCAGTATAGTATAGCATTAGCGATCAGACATTAAATCGATCATTTCTCAAATAAATTGAAAAAATGTATCAATTTAGACTCACCTGAAATCGTACATATTACTGATTACTTCAGCAAGAAAAAATTATTACGAGTTTCTGCTGTGATAGCCTATTATACAGTAGATGAACAGCATGCTTAGAATATTATGTAATTTTAATGGTGCGTGTATGTTTGGCCTAACCTGTGCTGTTCCCTGCAGGTATTTGGTGTACCGGAATATGCTGCGGGCGTTCACACACCTAAATTCAGCCTTGATCCTCCGCACTATGATGGCATACAGTCCTTAGCAATACATGGTAACTCCCTGTTCAGTGGATCCAGAGACACCTGCATCAAGAAGTGGGACCTGGCAGAGAAGAAGTTGAAGTTTGTAAGTGGGCATAATTAATTTCATTAATATCATATTTCATAATAAGTATATTATATTATTGTCATAATTATATTCTGTTACATGCACAGTGTGTGTTTTATAGTGAAATGCATATAGTGATCTATAGCAAGGAGTATTTTTTTCTGTTCAAGTCATTCCCCTAAGTTTCTATTCTATATAGGTTTTATAATGTTATATTTAAATAAATATTTGTGGATCCACATTATGTTGACAGAGAACTTGTTGGTGTAAATGGATCAATAGATGAAGATAATTCGTTGATATTTACAAAGCATATATTGTAGTTACCCAAATATGAGCATATACAGCAAGCTATGCATTATTGCCAAGGTGTGTCTCACATGGCAATGCCTACCTCTAATTGCAAGTGTTATGTCTACTAAACTTGCACACATACACAGACACGCACACGCACACTTGCAAGCACTAGGAAAGACACAGTCACAAGTATGCACTCACGTACGCACGCACGCACGCACGTACGCACGTGTGTGTGGTTTGAATATATATATATATATATATACACAGTGTTTCCCCTGCATTGACACGATCCAGGCGGGCCGCCCTCGCTCAAATTCTCAGCCGCCACACAGAAATTTGTCCAAAACACCGCCTCGCTGACGAAACCTTTGACAACTTGAAAAAGAGATTCAAGAGTCTCATACAATGTGTTCAGAATAGCTTAGAATGCACCAAATTGCACCATTTCTTCACAAATTTCTCGGGGAGCTTGGCCAGCATCTGCGCTGCTTGCTTTGCTAGGACCTCGAAACGCGCAAACACAGAAAACAGATTTACCACCTCATAGACCTTTTTAGCCAGGGGAAACACTGTATATATATATATATATATATCAGATACGAGGATCCTCAGAACGAGAAATGTGCTGTTGTGTACAGGCCAGGAGTAATAAAATTGTGCTTATTATTGCAGTCCATGAATCAGGCTCACAAAGACTGGGTGGAGGCTCTTCAGCTGCTGCCTGAACAAAATTGTCTTCTTAGCGGTGGCAGAGATGGCTACCTCAAGGTGGGTGCATGCGAGCCGGCCGCTCATATATGGTTTGATAGACACTGAGTCTGTGAGTCAATGTGCAATCAACAGCGCTGATTATTATGTCGCAAAGTTTACAGCTTGTCTATGTAATTGTCACGTGCTTACAGGTGTGGAACTGTGATAACTGTGCGTTGGTCGGAGAGATACGAGCGCACAGCAGTCCTATCAACGCCATCGCAACCAACTCGTCCGCCATATTCACTGCCTCCAAGTAAGTATCAGGGGTTCGTAGCGGGTCTTCCAAAGTCTTATAAGTACTTATTTTGCCAAAGATAAAATAAGGGCCCTTATTAGTACTTATTTTTGGTGGAATCTTAGAAAAGTACTTAATAGTCCTTATTTTTTCTCGACTTGGAGTAAGAATAGTTGTATATATAATACGGAATAATTAAATCTGCTGTGCAATTGTGTATATAAATATTGTTAGTGTACTTTAATAGTCGGTGATCTATCAGAAAGCGTGTAAAAAAGTCTTATTTTGGCCTCCAGAAAGGGTCTTATACGTCCTTATTTCAACATGTGTCTTACTACTATGAACCTGTATAGTGAACAGTGAGTGGTACCCTCATCACGTTTAGATGATGCTGCTTGGCTGCCTAGATGGGCAAACAGTATCTATCTGCATGACTTTGCTGGTTGCAAAAGGGACCACCCTATGCCGAATTATACTTCACCGTTTCCAATATAGGATCAGGGCCGATTCTTGATGTCATCGATTGCATGTGATTAGCCACTGCATAATTAGTGTTGACTTATTCTTAATTCCGTATGTTATTCTTGCAGTGAGAGCGTCATTAAAGTCTGGCATACTAGCATTGCTAGCGCCTAGTCTGTCCCATCACCTGCAGTCGTTTCCACATGTTTCTATATAATACACGAATTAATCTCTGTGGTGAATGTTTCTAAATCGAAAATTGTTCTGTTTCTAATTTTTAAAATTCTAATTTTTAAAATTCTAATTTTTCTAATTAAAAAAAAATTGTTTCTAAATCCAAGCTTATTATAGGCGAATTTTTGGTGTGACTTACACGGTGACAGCGACTATACGTGACCACAGAACACTACATTAGTTTCATTCTTGAACTATTTATTTATTTGATTGGTTTCAAACTAAAAGTAATGGACTAAATTTGTACCTATCGACGTCTGATATAATTTAGCCTCAGCCCCCCCCCCTTCATGTGTGAGTGGTATGTGCTAATTCATCAACGTACTGCAAGTTAATTCTTGTAATTATTATTTGCACTTAATGTACTAAAAGCTTTGGGTCTCACTACTGTGTGGGAGGGAAAAGGAAATTCGTTGTGCCATGCAATGGCAGAGTAGAACTAAACTGTGGGAAAAACTAATATCCATTGTAGAATTATAATTAATTAATAATTAATAACTGAACTGCTAATAAACCTAGCTTCTGTGTTCACGTTTAGCTAATACGTAGTAATTAAACCTACTTATGAATTATACCAAAGATAGGTAAAAATGAAAATGTACAACTCAAGATAAAAAAAATGTTATTGGTATTTTAAACTTCATATGTGTTAACCAGGATCTGTAAATCAATTTTCATACGAGCAAATCGGTGTAATGTCCCTGATCTATCTTTAAGCAAGTATAAATTGTCATAAGCCTATAATGAAGCTTACTGTGTTTCATCCAAAATCGGCAATATGTAGTAGAATACAAGGAGTTTATATTTAGGTGTCTAGTTTTAGCAGACAGGCCATTTAAAAAAGTTGTACTTTTTAACATGAGTTGTACTTTTCTCACTTTATCTATTTTTGTTTGAATCCGTTGGTTGAAGTTTTGCATATCTGCTGCATGTACGGGTAACCAGCGTAACACGATCCGTTTCTCTGCCCGTCTTTCCCAGTGACCAGACTATTGGCGTATGGAAGCCAAGAAACAACCTCAGCGCACTTGTGATGGATGCTGGAGAGGATGAGAGAATCGCATAACGTTGCCTGTCGTTTGCTCTTGTGATTCGATGTGAAAAACGTTTGCGAGCAAATGTCGGCGACATTTTCACGTTGAGAATCGTGTGTGAACATGTGCCTATACTAACAAACGATCATGCACTACCAATTGTAAGGTTAGTGGGGGTTGGTTACTGTTGGGGGGTTCTAAGTGTTTTTTTTTTCTATAACCGACAAATGGTAGGAGCCTGTGGTAAAGGGATCAAAATCAAAACCCAGTGTATATAGCCTGCGCGAAAGCCTATTATGCAATGTGTAAAAACGTCAAAGAATGATAATAATTGTACAGTTGATCGAATAATGAAATTGATTTATAACTCTTTGCTTTCTCCTCTAACAAAGTAACTATATGGTGACCACTATGAACATTCCGCAATAGTTTTCTATGGGTTGATAGAGCAGCACGTTGTCTGTGCTAGCGTTATTAGCGTCATCACACATTCCACTTGGTCCTTGAGCATTCAGAAAGGAACATACGCCGACGTTACGCTAGGTGCTATTGTGTGCTGTAGTATATATGCCATCAAGCAGATCTGCAGAACGTAGTGTGGTGTTAACATGAATAAAAGAGATTTCAACACTAGATGCGACTACACAGTGAACAGTAGGAATATATTTGTTCTCGTTATGAGCATATAGCAATAAGCATCACGTGACGTGTGACAAAGGAACGACTATTTTTCTCTCTTTGTAATTTGACGACAGATTTGCGATATATTGAATAATAGCATCCCATTATAGGGATTCGCTAGGTTGACTTTACTCACTTATAGTATAGTACATTCAGACTAACATGTCTTCGTATTAAGTTACGTATCTATCAGCCTGGTGAGAAGTGAGATGTTGCAAACTTTTGGAAACTCATTGAATTTCAACCCGCTGTAGTAGTTATAGAAGAGATTTTCGTAAGGGAAACGTTCTGTGTACTTTCTACGTATAATTATATGTGGTATCCATAAGTCAGGCAGCTATATTCTTCCGGTACAACAGACATGAGAGGTATGTTTAGAGTGCTATGCATCTGATAAATACATGGGGATACGAAACAAAATGGCTGATTAGTGAAAGCGTGCGACGACGGTTTTCTGCTGTAAGCGTGCTACCTTCACACAGAGTAACATATCACTATCAGTTTTGTTTTGTATTTTTATATCGCCCAACAACATGCTCTGTTCCCTGCATCATGGTTGTTATCGTACTTGTAACTCCCTCCACATTGAAAAGCCGTAAACATCCTATATAATAGGAACATTAGTAGTGGTCTTTCATAATAAAGTAATTTATTGGTTTACATTATTGATGGTGTTTAACTGGTATTTCTTACGCAAGCAACAGTCGTGCTTCAATTATAACACTAATTATTTAAAAAAAATATGCATGATAACAATCGATTATAACATCATTGGTAGCTGGTTGTTGTTATTCGTTCCTCTAGCAATACAAGATTCATCATCACAATATACTGAACACTGCCAAGTTTATTGTCGCGTAGCAATACAATACGAGCAGTAACAAAATGGGCTTATGTAAAGGCGTTTTGTACAGTCGCATTTATTTCCACGGGATTAAACTCGCAGTGTTATTGAAATCTGCAGTATGCATCGAATATTACACAGTAACCCCACTACCAATAGTGATGTTAATGGTAATGCAATGTTCATCTGTTTACGTAAAATTAAATAATGAGCATTAAACGTACCTTCTTCAGTGTAAATTCATATTTCTCATAGACGTAAATAATATCAGCGAATGTGCAGAAGTTTCTTTATCGTTAGTCGTATTAGCAAGAGACGGGTGCAACAAGTGTTTAGACGTATGGATCCAGAGCACTATCATGTGACAGGAGACGATGGCCCATGGTAATATAATGGTATTGCAGAAGATGACGAGAGATGTTGGCCTAGGGCATTACAATAGAGATATTAGCCCATAGCACTTTAGCAGGTGACTCTTGCATCGAATGAAGAGTGTGATTCAGTACATCGTTGGAGTGCGTGTTGAAGTGAGATCATTGCACGAGATTACGGACAATATCCCGGGGGGGGGGGCACTCACCCCACATTATGGTAGGTATGTGCCACTGCGAAGTCAAAAATCGGGGGCTCTGGAACTAACTCAGACCTGAAAATGGGGGTCTCTGGAACTAATGTTTGTTGAATGTGGGATGCTCTGGAACTGGCTCCAGATATGTTAACAACGGCCACCACCATGACCAGTGGCACCCCCGAGTGGCACAGGCCCTGCGTTCCGGCTGCCGACACTGACGTGACGATGACAGAAGTGCTGCACTCGATGTATGCATGAGAATAAAATGGGAAATGTTAAAAACTAGGGTCTCCGGAACGGCAAAAATGTAAACTTGTGATGCTCTGGAACGGAAGTTTAGGGTGAAAAAGGGGGGTCTCTCCCGCGGCACATACCTACCATGTAATATATATGGAGTGCCCCCCCGGGGGGGGGGGGACAATATAGGAATGGATAATGCCCTCGCGTTGTAGAGTCTAGTAACAGAACTTCCATATAATATTTAAAAAAGGATCGAGTTCATAGACATAGACATTAGCTAGACATAGACATGGGAATGGACAATGCCCTTTGTAGAGAATAGTGCTCCTGTACCTCCTGGAAACTACGAATGTACGAGTTTGTTATCCATTATGAAGTTTGTATAGGTTAACCTATTAGCTTCCTCTCCGGTTCTTGCTTTGCTTAGGAGGAAAAGACACAGCGGGTGTCTCTCTGGCAAGCAAATGCTCCTGTTTGCATTAGGTTCCTCTATCCCTAGCAGTTTCCTGACAGCCAACGACAGCGCCTAATGCAGTGCAGGAAATAATTAGTCTAATGTGATAGTCCAAAAGATAATTACAGTAGAACATTTTACCTGAAAATGTTTTTTCTATTATAGGCGTGATGTTATTTCTCTTGTAAATGAATGATATCGCCAATTAACGTAAAATTAATTGCGTAATGTCTCGAATTGTATCGTAACGTATTCAGTTCAATATGGTACAAGTAGTCGTGTTTAATGTACCATGTTGGTATGAACAAATAATATGCTGCGAAAGTTTTTAGAATGCACCCTAATTAAACTGAAAGCGTTATGAATGTTAAATTAAATTAGCAAACGAATATAGCAAGGTCTAAAATATTTCTCATTGGATAAACGAAATACCTTTATGTGCTGGAAGTCGATGATGCCAAGTTGGGAGAAATGGCTACTGTCCATCAGTATCAACTTACGGCCATTTATAAAGTTGGCTAGGAAAGTTTCCTGAAAAATATTAATAGAATATATGTATATTATATAATTATATATATATATTATGTATATATATATTATTATGTATATGTATATATGCATATTATAGAATATATGTGTATCAACATATATTCCCTTTATACTATATCACAGCAAACAAAATATTACTATCTGTTCTATGAATCGTGAAATCCAAGTAAACGAACGCTTGTTTAAATCTTAGATATGTTTGTTATCACGTCTTAGTGAGATGTTTGTCTACTGTCGGCAAGTCAACGTTGTGTCTATTGCCACTTAATATTTAATAATGCGTCGAGCTCATATATATATTCGCTCTCTATGCCTTCTTGTAGTCAAATATTAATCATGAAAGGTGCAGGTGCATGATTGCCTAAACATTCGTTATTCTTTCAGCCTTTACCTATACAAGTTGAGACTTGGTCGGAAAGGAGCTGTAAACGCATTCATATGTAATTCTATGATTAATATAATTTACAAACAATACGTGAGTTCATTGACGCGTGCCCGGGGTGTAAGTGCGTGCGTGCGTGCGTGAATCGCACGCAAAAACGTACCGTACCACACCAATTACATACGAACGCACAACACACAGACATGCGTGCGCATGCACTAGTGGGCTTATACCACTCAGTGGCTTATACACGAAACACATACGCACATCACGCTTGTACGTCACGGAGGCGTGATAGTTTGGGCTTAAACACAAGCAGCCACCTAGTGGTAATGGATCAGACTATTCTTTCTTATATACGTGCACATTATACGTGTTTTCTTTTATCCAGTATAACCCAAACGAATTATTATTTTGTTGCAATTATACATAAACTAGAGTGCGCGTACTTGGGCCCCGGAGGGAAAGAGAGAAAGGGGAAGACCAAGGGAAACATGGCGAAGGACAGTGGAGAACGAAATGATTACATTAGGGTTTAAAACATGGAAAGAGGCCGAAAGAGCTGCCAAAGATAGAACGTCATGGAGAAATTTGATTTCGGGCTCTATTCTCTACGAGGAGAGAAGGAACTAAGAGAGAAGAGAGCGCGTAGTTCGCGTACACACGCACACATGCGTATTATAAGCGAAGCTATGCGCATAGCCCGGCCCCCCCCCGGCCCCACTCCGAGGTCGGAGGGACCGCATGCGCGTTCCCAAAATCTCCGGTAAAGGGGTATTTTTCGCGCGGCAAAATCCGGCCCCAGAATTGTAAAAAAAGGGGGTGTATTTGACTTTTCACCCGGAGATTTCTTTAAAAAGGAGGTGTTTTTCCTCTCTCTCTTTCATCTTGAATATCATAGAAAACTTTATCAAATCCCGGGATCAAATTCCTGAAATTCCTGCTAGTTTTGAAAGCTCATTCAGGATTATTTCGGATTTAGGGGGGTCTCCAAGGCAGGAAAACCCCGCAAAAAGCCCGCGAAAAGGGGGTTCAGAAATTTTGGCAGTCCTGAGATAGGGGGTGCTTTCAAAGGGAGGGAACGAGCATATGCGTACCCTAAATAACACTGAGTGGGGGGGCCGGTGCGCATAGACGGTATAGTAGGCCCCTACACAACGGACGGCAGTGTGTTCGTGCGTGCGTGCGTGCGTGCGTGCGTGTGCGCACATGTGTGACACTCATAACTGCATTATCAGAACGTGAGTTGCTAGGCGACAAATAACAGTGGGTGGGAAACAATGGGTGGATACTTGACACCGGTTGACACGCACGTTTGTGGTTGGCCGTCGCACTCAGAAATAATTATTTTTACCGCGATAAAAATAATTTAACCGCGGTTAAATTATGTGTAACAAGGCATATGATTGGGTAAAGGGGCTATAATTTAACCACGGTTGAATTGTTTCTACCGCGGTAAAATTAATTTATCCGCGGTTGCATTGTTTTGTTTGAACAATTATTTTACCGCGGTAGAAACAATTCAACCGCGGATAAATTATTTTGACCGCGGTAGAAACAATTCAACCTCGGATAAATTATTTTTACCGCGGATGAATTATTTTTACCGCGGTAGAAACAATTCAACCGTGGATAAATTATTTTTACCGCGGTAAAAATAATTCATCTGCGGTAAAAATAATTTATCCGACGTTGAATTGTTTCTACCGCGGTCAAAATAATTTATCCGCGGTTGAATTGTTTCTACCGCGGTAAAATAATTGTTTCTGAGTACGATGGCCAACCATACACGTTGGTAACTAAGGTAGTTGTTGGTGAATGCCGACTCGTGAAGAATGGTACCAATGGGCGGGATATTCTGCGAAAAGCTTTTAATTCCTAAATCACGACAACTAATCGAATGTAATAATGTTAGATGGGTGCCAAAGCTTTACATAATCAGAGCGTTAGTATGGAGATGATCACATCAGCCGTCTAGAAGCGCGATGTCGCAATGCTTACTGTGTACTCTGGATATCCTAGCTTGCTGATCCAATCGGCTACCTCTCTGCAGCTCCAAATAATACACTCGGGAACAAAGTCCTCATAGTTTGGCTCTTGTTCTTGTCCTTTAATGGAATTTCGTTTCAAGTAGGACATAGCTTTGTTTTTAAGCGTGTGCCTACGGGACCATTCAATGTATAATCTCTGCCTGTTTCAAGTATCATGTTCTCCACCGTAACCATGGTGCGCTGGGCGAAGTTGCTACCCAGTGATGTAACAATTTGGTATGCATTGTGCAGTTAACACACATTGTAAACACATTGTAAACAATTGTTTTAATTGGATGATCTATTGCGTTCAGCTATCTCTGTCATATGCGCAGTCTTTAGTGCCTCGACGAAAACGAAAGAAACGTAGAACGAGAACAAAAAGAGGAGGAGGAAGATGAACAAAGAAAAGGATGACGTGAAAGAAAGGGGAATATCTATCGCAATAGCTCACTCATATTCGCTAATTATGTGGTGAAACGTTTTCTCAAATTTTCCCATACTCTACTATTGCCGGAGATCTTCATTTGCCCAAGCCTCCAGTCTGCCAGTCTTTTTTATTGTAGTAAATGCGTATATATTCATTTGTAGTTATGTTAGTTTATGTTAAATTATTTATAAATCTATCGATTTATACACGGCGCCCTGCATTTCAATATCTTCCTACACTATGGCACAAGGTTGAACGTGAGTACGTGCACGGTCAATCTTTGCCGAGGGAAATATTATTGAGTTGAAATCAAATTAGATCGACGACGTAAATCGGGGGGAGGGGGACCAAGACATATCCCATATATGGGTTAATTCGTGGTATATTAGAAAGAAATTCCCGAAGCAATAGTAACAGATATAAAAATTTACAGTGAACCCGAGGCATATTCGCGGATTATTGATTATATATAGTTATATGCATTTCTGTGCCGAGATATTTATTGGATAACGGACCGCAAAATCATCTTAACTGTCCAGGATACGTCTACTATCGCAGAATCAGTTTCAAGAGAACAACAAACGGAACTGTTTTATATGCGTAATTGCTGAAAATTTATTTATGAATGAGATATTGATGATTACGCACACCACAAACCAAGGCCGACCATTGATTGCACTGTATGGTTGGTTCTTATCATCTAGCACAACACTTATAACATACGATATGTACAAATCTGAAACACAGTCATTTCTAAAGGGCACCAAGCCAGTTTAAAAGTAAACTACTCGATCGATCTCGTAAGAACTTAAATGACCGGCTATGTAGTCATTTTTGTAATGGCATATATTGGACCTGAATTTTACTTTTATACAACCGGTCGGTTAGACCAGATGTATCATTTTGCGAAAACCTTTGGGTTCACTAGGTGGTAATAAATGCGTTGCACGTTTTCATCGGGAATACATTACAACACATATCTACGTTATGTTATCTATTCAATGACTAATTACTACTTGTCACGTCTAAATCTATTTCTCACAATCTCATTACTATATATGCATATTCCGATGATTAAATTGCACAACTCTATTATATACCAATACAGTTACACACCTCGATAGAATTGTAACACAACAATAAACTAAGAATCAACATCTACCACACCTCTCACGAACACTACATTACGCCGACAACTGATGGGACATATCTTAAATTAAACGGGGATAAGGCACAGAGCTACACAATCGCAAGACATGATCAATATAGCTGCATTTATTTATTATGTTTGGCGGGAGAATCCCGATAAAGAGTACACGAATCAACGTGGATACGATGAACTCTAAATATCTTCACCTAGTACAAATACCTACTAAGTTTACTTCTATAGTATACGCACGTGTATACGGATATAACTTACTTGCACGTAGAACTTTCACTTTTGGAAGAATAAAACGATACCTCTCAAATGTTTGTTAAGCGATTCGCGTCTTAGAAACGAGCTAGGCCAATCAGGACTACTGTTGGAACGTACGTATCCTGCTTGTATACAGACATACAAAAATATTTACTTTAAATACACAACACATATACGTATCATACTATTCACAGACACCAAATATATTAAATAGAATAATACCACCACTGCACAGCTATCTTTCTGCACAGGCACAAATACTCTTAAGAAGGAACAACTAACGAACTTGGCTATGTACAATCTTATTACATAAATAGACCGGTATCTGACATTTTCTTTAGAAAGCTATCCCAAGATGATACACAGAGTATAGCTGTCATTTAAATCAAAGACCGTAAAACAGCATTGCCATAGTATCTCACTTTGGCAAACATTTGTAAAAAGTAGAAACACGAGCATGTACTGTAATACAACCCCAGAACAGGGATAGCCAATGAGATTATCCAATATATGATATATGCAATATAGAGAGAGAGAGAGAGAGAGAGAGAGCGCGATCAGCCCCTCGCGCCATCTATTGGGAGAAATATTATACAGGAGGGCACTGCGGGGGTACAGTGTAGTAGTCTACAAAAGCTATGTCAAATCTCAAAATGATCTGTCAAACTATTGCGTATACACAAAACTGCCGCAATTAAATATGGGTGCATGAAGGATAGGGTGAAGTCCATATTTGCACGTCTTAAGTGGAATTAATTAGATACGGATGACATGTTAGGATGAATATGCCACATGTCTTCTAATGTTTTCGTGAAATTCTCAACGGGAAGAAATAAATGCTTGCATATTTTCCTTAGCAAACGTTTCGTACTTTCTCCGTAGTACAGGCGACGTTATATGCTAATATATAAATGCACTCAAGATGGAAAATCCATTAGTGACTTGTTTGCTCCTTCGAAATCTTCACTTCTTGCGCTGTTTAATCTTGTGTGTAATGAATGCTGCCTCAATTGCATGCGCCAGTTTCAAGTTGTACTAGTTTTTGACGTTTTTTCTCATACTTTCTCATACTAGTACAAACATCGACGACCAGTTGACCATTGTCGAATGGAGGTGGGCCGTGCTATTTTCTTCTTGGGGAAGCTGTACATACTGTTTCTACCTTTTAGTTAATTGAACCAGTTCCAAACAACGGATCGAATATATGCATTGTTATATAAAAGATAGTCCAACGACTGCTCTCCTTTCTATACAGACGTTGACCAGGACACTGGCCTGTCGTCGTCTTTGTGATTCATCGCCTCTGTCTCTTCGACGACGTTATCAGTGGTCTCTGCGATCTTCGTCGGCGTGGTCTGTGCAGAGCCGTTCAGTGGCAGCTCATCGTTGGCTGGCTCTCCCGCCCACGTCACCGGCACGGCCTTCTCCTCGGCCGAGCGCTTCTCCTCGTTCGTGTAGTAGTCCACCTGCCTCCTCTTCCAGATGATCGCGATGATGATGCTGATGAGGATCGCGATCACCATGACGGCGATCGCGAGACCGATCTTTGCGTCGGCGTTCAACTGCTTCGCCCTGATCACTAGCGGGCAGGTGACAACATCACTGGCGTTCAGCTCGCGTATGAGTCCGCCCGCGTACTCTTCCGGCGAGGCGCACACGAGGCAGGACAGGCTCTCCGGCTCGTCGGTGCAGTTCGCTGGCTCCGTCTCCTGCACCCACTCGAACAGCGGCCGTATGCCGCAGTCGCAGTGCCACGGGTTGCCGTGCAGCGACACCGCCGGCAGCTTCCTCAACTCCTTCGCCAGCTCCAGGTTGATGCTGCTGAACTCGTTGCCCCTCAGGTCGAGCCTCGTGCCGGAGAAAGCGAGGTCTGCGACGGCGCGCGGTGGGAAATCCGTGAGGCGATTGCCCGCGAGCGTGAGCGCAGAGAGACGAGCGGAGCTTGGGACGGCACCGTGCGGCACGTCCGCGAATCCGCACCCCGTCAGATTCAGCTCCTGTAAATCGGGCAGCGAGTCGAGGAACTTTCCCAAGTGCGCCGCGTCGAGCGGATTCCTGCTGATGTCGAGGTGGTGAAGCCCTTCGGCTATGGGGTCGGTGATCGCCGGATCGATCTTTCGGAATCCGTTATTGGCGAGGGAGAGCCTCTGCGCGCGCAGACCCATAAAGACGTCGCGCTCGACGCCCTCGCTCAGCCGGTTGTCGGCGAGACTCAGGCTGTCCAGGTCTAGCCCGTTGAAGGTGCGCGGTGGGATCGCTTTCATCCTGTTCGCATCCAGGTTGAGGTCGCGCAGGTTCACGAGATGCTTGCTGAAGAGGTTCTCCTTCATGCGGCCGGCGAGGCGGTTGCGAGCGAGGTTCAGAGTGGTGAGCTTCCGCATGTGCCGGAAGGTCTTCGCGTGCAGCACCGACAGGCTGCAGTTGGCCGCCGAGAACTCGCGCAGCTCGGGCGTGTCCTTGAAGACGTCGGCGTCGACGTATCCGTCCGGCTCGCCGATCGGGTTGTCGTCGAAGATGAGCGTGCGAAGGCTGTACAGGTTCTCGAACAGCTTCGACGACCACTTGTGCAGACCGTTGTCGCCGATGTTGAGATACTCGAGCCGCGACAGCTGGTTGAATGTTCCAGACGCGAGCTCGGTGATGTTGTTGCCGAACAGATTGAGAGACGTCAGCGAGTTCTGAATTCCGAAGAGTTTGCGCTGCGTTATGAGCGCGATGTTGTTATGCTGCAGGTCTATCACCCTGCACTTGTCGAGACCGATGAACGCGTGGTCGCCGATGCCGTTTAAGTTGCCATACACGATGTGCACCTCCTCGAGTTGCCTGTAGCTGAGAAAGGCTTTGTGCGGAAGACCGTGGAATCGGTTCGGGTTGCCGGAGGAAGCGACGATCTCCAGTATTTGCGTGTTGGGGTCGAGTACGGGGATTTCGCGCAGTCCTGGCTGGGAGCACTGCGTCCGGTATTTGCCAGCTTCCGTATATTCACAGCGACATGCTCCGGGACATATTTCGCCCAACACAGAGTTCGTGAGGAAAGGGAGACACAGGGCAAGCACAGCTAGTCTTTGATCCATTGTTTAGGTCGGGGGGAAGCTCCTTTCAAATTCAAGATGTGTATCTGCAAGATCAAAAATGATAAGAATGTATGAATAACAAATATTGAGTGATTAAACTATTTATACGATAATAAATCTCATGAAATTGTTTCTATTTTCGTTTAAAATGTAGCACCGTCGGAAGCATTTAGTTGAATTCCTGGCTCAAGCAAATGTTTTGGTTAGATTTCATCTTTATCTACCACTGACACATATCCTACGTTTCACAAACGTCAAGCTTAAGACACGGCTAGACGAATTCAATGCCGTATGACTTTCGCTGTCTTACTCTAGACATCACAGACACGGAGTTAGTCTACATAACAGCCTTAAGCCATGCCCACGAATAAATGGAAAATGCCCAACATTACTCTTTATTCAATGCAATATACAATAACAAATACAATGCAACATAGTGTACCCATTTTGTTTAGGTATATACGCGCTTTTTTACACACGCGCACGCACACAAACACGCGACAACTTAGTAGCAGATGTTGAGGGCAGTGTGTGAATCAATTTCAATTGGTTTAGTTTGATGTGTGGCCAGAAGGGTAAATGCAACACAGGTATAACGCACACGTCAAAAAATGTGTCAACTATAAGCCACACATACGGTACAGAAGCTATCATTATTATGAAACTCATGCATTATGATAATTCACGATGACAAGTTGCTTTCGTCTATAGTTGTGCACCTCATAATTATTTCTGGCAATTCAATTATTATATTAAGTACACTCATACCTCTCCCGTCACACCGGCTATTTGTTTATATACACCGGCTATTGTTTATATAGCCAAACGCTTTTTGGCGGGAAAAACTGCGTTAGGAAACACGACAGGAGTGTAAACTTGAAGTGACGTAAAATCACTTAGTAGAAATTTAAACACTATAAGCTTTAACATCTGCTGCCAGAATTAATAAATATATATTTAGTCAAGTAATAACAAAAGAAACGACGCGGGTTGTGCGCGAACGATAATGTCGCAATCACACACACACGCACGCACGCACGCACGCACGCACGCACGCACGCACACACACACACACGCGCGGACGCACACACGCACACGCACACGCACACGCACACGCACGCATATTAGCCACTGTGAGTGTGACTCATCCTGTAAATATACTCCTGTAAGGGTAATCAGGTCGATCATATAGTTGATCGATTCAAAGAAATGAATCATTTTCCACATAGACAATGTGATGGTTAAATCTACTGAAGACACCGATTTCTCACATCATTTCAATCGATCATCACTCAATGCTATCGGTTTCAATAGTTAACGTGGTATTATAGAAAGTTTATAGGAAGAACGTGACATTCGAGCACGCGCACGCACACACACACGCACGTATATATATATATATATATATATATATATATATATATATATATATATATACTCTCACACACACACACACACAAGTACACTCACTTACACATGCACACACGCGCGCGTACGTATCTCCACACGCACGCACGCACGCACGCACGCACGCACGCACGCACGCACGCACGCGCACAGACATGAATGCCTGCGATATCATCAGCAGACAGCGAAGAACGGCGCAACCAAAACAGCACTTTGCTGGAATTAAATGCAGCTCAACGATTTAAACGCACACACAAAAGTCTCCCCCACCCCACCACCCGCAGATTCTAAAACTTCTCATTCACGTCAAGGCAACAGCGATCGGAGGAAGATCGCTCGATCGCTGGCCATTCTGCCGATAACCGCAGCGGCTTCTAGCTTTTGCAGCGGGAGCGGCGCTTGCAAGCGAACAATGGCGGCGTCCAACTATCGGGCACAGCTGCCGCATACGCACGTACGCGTCCCCCACAAAGGCCATTATGTGAGCGCGAATAGATGTTTATACGAGGGTTGTAGCGAGACAAAATCAGAGCGCGTGCCGTCTGTCCCGCCGACATAATGCAAAGCGTAAGCGTTCGATGCTAGCTGGCATGGTGCCAAAGTGCGTTACTATTACATACCAATCGCCCCAGAGCTTTGATTTAGGCGGGCAGGGTTTGTCCTCCACATATAGGCTACGGGGGTTAGTAGAAAGACACAGTACAATATGCGTGTCGCACGGGGTGTAATATAACGATTCGGAATCGCACTGTTAGCTTTTCGGTAGTTCAGCTTTTTAAATCTCATCATCTTTTCCCATATATTCCCATAATCTTGCTTCATAGTTGTTTTTATAGCCGCGGCGATACGTTACCAGTAGCTATTAAGATTTAATGATATATGCCACATGTTAGTTTGTGCAACTTCTGTGCGCTCTCTGCAATAGGCCGAGGACGAGGTAGGAGGAGGAGGAGGAGCAGGAGGGGGAGGAAGAGGAAGAGGAAGAGGAGGAGGAGGAGGAGGAGGAGGAGGAGGAGGTAAGAGAAGGAGGAAAAGGAGGAGGAGGAGGTAGGTTGGTTCATGGAGCCGAGAAGGTAAGCTATATTGAATATAGTTCAATGGAATTACTGTTACTTCATCTACAACAATTTAGAAATTGGTCAAGATCATACTTGAGCTTATAATAGGTGGCATATATTACATTACCTACAACGGGTGCCCGGTCGTTTTTACGTAAGAGAAGCACGAGGAACCGCTGCGAGGAAGGACTATAGCTGCTAGAGGAGGGTGCGTTTAGATTTGTCCACATTAGGTCGAATTAGGTTCAAGGTTAGATAGCCTGGCAGCTTGCAGAGTGGTGCGATCCTGGACAAATGTCCGTGAGTACCATTGACTTGATCGTGCGATCGCTAATTAAGCCATGATCGGCCACCGTGTCAGCGGTAAATACTACAAACGTTGAAAGGCAGTTGAAAAGGATGTTTGAAGGGCAGGTGGAATCATACACGCATTAAAATGAGTCCAGCCACTTGTGGGTGACAGTGGCGTAGCTAGGATTTTTTTTAGCGGGGGGCACTGGGGGGGCCTTACATTCGGGGGGGGGGGCACAATATATCACTTTTCTTTGTATTATACTATTCTAACGGGATTGTTTTTAATTCAATTTTTTTTTCATCCAGCATGAATTTTCAGGGGGGGGGGCACCGTGGGGGGGGCACGAAAAATTGTAGCTACGCCCCTGGTGGGTGATCAATCATAGATCGAGCTGTTGTACAACTATGCCAATTTAACAGTCCGCGAAAAAAACCATGGTCACGTGTCCCATCTAAGAGCTATAATGATTCGCTCACGAGCACTGAAACGCATATCCATGTGTTTACTTTGAGGGTAAGAAAAGAGGGAGGCGGAGTAGGTGAGTGAAGGGTCGAGGAGGAGGGAGATGAGGATAGAGAAGGATGGTGGAGAGATAGATGGAGAAAGAGAAAGAGAAAGAGAGAGAGAGAGCGCGCGGCGAGCGAGAGAGAGAGAGCGAGAGAGAGAGAGAGAGAGAAGAGAGAGACAGACGACGAGATCGAAGAGCAGACCTGAGAGAGAGAGAGAGAGAGAGATAGTAAAAAGTGCTGATTGTGAACACAGTGCTTTGTAAGCAAACGAGAGAAAGGAAAAAATGTAGCTAGTTTTGCATCGAGGGAAAAGTAACTTATACAAAACACCCCGGACAGAAATAACAATTGTGACTAACACCATGTGTAGGCAAATATTTGCCATTCCTGCGGATGTCGTTGCCAAAGAGGCGTTTTCCCATACGGACCCAGCATGTCCCCAAGGACACTCTTTGCTTTCCGATGCATTTGTTTTGTTTACCGACCTCTTTTCACCGATGGGGTGAATAATTATATGCAGCACCCACGCATACGCACCTAAGACCCTATTTGTATTCTCTAAGAAGAAAAAATTCGTTGCCCATTCCACTAGATGCTCCACTCGTTATGGTCAGACCATTGGATTGAAACTGGACTGCTTGCTCCAGGCGCCGGCCTATCACGCAGTCGTAGTTTCAATTATTTTGTCTCGTTTACACCATTTGACGAAAAGAAATACGTTTACTTCGAATGACCATCGCAATGTACAACGGTTGCTTGATGTTAATTAGCACATAATCATAATATATGGCACATGTAATGTTTAGAGCGAGTGTAGTAAACCATAGCTCCCATACATTATCTGTCAAAATACTGCGTGAATGAATGAATACATGCAAAGGCAAGATGGCGCGCAGCATGCTGCGGAAAGGCGACAAAGCAAAGTTACGAGCGACTCTATAACTACTATATGGGGTTTCAATTGTGCGCCCATCTAATCCGCTCTATATACTCAGCGAACACATCTCAGGACAAACGGCTGAATGCGCTCGCCGGTCGAATTGAGATATGGTCGGTTTTTAATCATGCGGAATAAATATGACATCTAGCTGTAGTTAGCTCGCTTATATTTTGTGCTCGCCGAAAATCCACAGAATATAGATTTATCGATAAATCTACGCTAGCATCGACGGATCCCAAGTGTTTTGCGGTCGAGTACCGCTTCCTCGCTATTTCTAACTACTGGTTCCCACAGAGATTCGATCGAGTGACACACAAAAACAAGTTTTACATGAGAGAGTCATAATAAGAGAGCAAATCATATATCAACAAATGAGTCTATGCGTTTCCGAAACCGCCTTAAGTATAATCACGCTGAACCCAACAATAAAATGTTTACCAAATAGCCTACTGTACAAACTAATAAGTAATAAATACTGTAGATTGCACTATACATAGTTTTATGACCTATGTTTTGTATGTAGCAATTTGTGGGCTGTAACAATTTGTGCGCTATTGGCTACATATAGGTGTGAACCTAATATATAAATTATAATGTGTATGTGTATATGATCCATGCAGCTTATTACCTGTTCCCTATTACTTCGTAACGTTATTACTTATTTAGGCATTAATTACCATCCAATCATCGGATAATGAAATATAAAATCCACGGTATTCCCACAGGATTCTCCTAGTGATAATAAACAGATCTATAACTGCAGATATACGCTTCAGTTATAGTATACGCTTCTGTCTCCACCGCGAATGTAGGCCTATGTACAGTCAAGGGGTTT